ACACGAAAGGAAATAGAAGAATTTGAAAAAATAATACCAATCAAGAAAGGCTCATATTCTTTTGAAGAGGACAATATTATTGCTAACAATTGGAAAACATTTTGCAAGGTTAGTATGCAAGATATCTGTTTATTATCTAATTCTTAGAAATATTTTTAAAATAAGATTTAAAAATTTTCCATAAAAAAATATATATATCTAAGAAAAAATATATATATCTGCAAAAGTTTTTACAATGTTGATTTTGAAACAGATACACAATTGGGATGTAAATAAAAGTAAACCGTTTTTACGATTAAGAATTGGCAATTTAACATACATGCGTAATACTGGAGAAAGACGGAAATTTGTACAATTTTTAGCCAATGGTTTACCAGAGAGAACTTTATATAGTGTCTACCATAGATTTAAAAATTTATATGAGAATAACCTTCAACGAAGGTAATATACAGTAAAATATATTTATATACAAATATTTATCTATATTCTTGAATATATCACATACGAATATAATATATAACATATGATATAGAATTTTTATAAAGATATTATTACAAAGGTTTTTGCTTGGTAAAGTTTCTTTGTCGATGCCATTTGCCGCGATATGTTCCTTATATTATTTATTTTATTGCAATATTTTATTTTCACACTTTCATCTTTATCTTCCATCCCATGAATATATTTATTCTTCCATATTTTTTGTCATTATTAGTATGCGATATTTTTCAAGAATAGATCCCAGTGCCGTCCATATAAATGCTGTCTTTTTTAAATGTAGATCAGTGTAAGAATCACAGCAATCTCGTCCAATAGAATAAACTCATTAGGCCAATGGCAGCATCAAATAATCTAGAAACTTGAGTAATTTACTTGATTTTTACTCTATAGTACTACTCCACACTCAAAAAGGATGTCATTAATGCACGGCACATTGTACATGATTTGAATCTTATATATATTTTTATATAATTATGAAGTATAACTTTAGTGTTAAGTATAATTTATAACAATAATAATGAAATATTAAATAAAAATGGCTAGGTTTAAACCTGAAGAAGATGAAATGATAATAGATCATTTAGAAAATAATCCAGCTCTTGAAGAAAAACGTAAATATGCTGATTTGGCTAAAGTTCTTCAGAGAACAAGACATTCCATTTGGCGACGTTATAGAATATTAAATAAGAAAAGAAGTAAAAAGGATGATTGATGTATTATTTATTTGTAATAAAAACATTATTTTGATTACGATGAATTATTATAACAAATTAAATTAATACAATATATGACTCTTCAAGATAAACTCAATGTAAATATAATAATGTAATGAGGAAAATAGGAGTCACTACTAATTGTTCGTGTGTAACAATATATATATATTAAATTAAAATTAGAATACAGACGAACCTGGTATTGGGTCATCCTCAGTATAAAATGGTTGGTAGAATAAAAAATTATACATATGTAAGCCTCAAATCACCAAATCATCGTTAATCTATTGTGACTACTTAAAATCTTCAACGTCGTCTGTTATATTTTGCTGAATAAACAAACTGCATGTTATAGAAATTATCACTAAAATAGAACAGCAAAATTAATTAATATAGTCAAATTATAATTATAAAATCAAAATCACTAAAAACTTACGTTGGAATCAGATTAACGATAATCTGTTACATTGTAAAATTATAGAGAGATATCTGTATTGTGTGAGAGTTCAGATCGAAGTGACAAAGTGAGCCGACGATACCAAAATAAATATAAAAATAAATATGTGCAAAAATAAGAATACGTCCATCAAAGTTAAAATCTAGACTTTAAAACATAGAAACGTCAATCTTCCGCAATTAAATCGTAATATAGAAAATTCAATAATTCCATATCATTTTGTAAATTTAATCCATTTTTTGTTTTTTGATAAAAATGACTCGGAAATTGATCTCTTATTATAACTCTTTTCCTCATCCAAAATTAAAACTTTGCTCCAATCAAATTCATAGTTATGCTCAATTCTATATTCTGTGATAGCAGACTGCGATGTGGTATTTCTGTTTATGTGATACTATGTTCACTTATTCTCGTTTTTAATAATCATTTCGTTGGCTTATGTAGGAAGCATTACAATTCTAACAATTGATCTTACTACGTTAGTGCGATCGTAAGCTGTTAGTTTATCCTTCTGTTCTTTGATAAAATGACTTAATTTATCAATTCCAATATAAACCAAATGTATGAATCGATTATTCTTGAAGAACCTTTTAAATTTATCAGATATGGATGGTATATAGGAAATGTTGAAGTAAGTCACCTTATTATTAAACTTATTTTGTATATTTTTATTTCAATTAAGATCAGAATTATTAAATTGCTTTAATTTAAATAGTAATCTTTTTTTAATATTCTTAAAAATCAAAACCAAAGGATATCCATTTCTTAATAATATTGATGATTAGTTCAAAATTTTTTTCCTGAAAACTGGCTTTTCCTCATTACATCATTATATTTACATTGAATTACTATAATGTTTTTTAAATAAACTACAAAAATATAATAAATAGAAACTATAATATGTAATGTGTATAATGACATGAAATAAGATTATAAATATGCTAATGGAAGCTTCTATTAGTTCTATTAATATGTGCTAGGATGAATGTATTTTTATATAAATATATATAATACGATATTATAAGTATATATGATAAAATATTAGAATTTTTTTTAATTTACTTCTCTCATCATAACATCTTATTTTTCTTTAAAAGTTTATATGACTTATTAATGAACAACATTTTTTGCATATAATGTTCTTTATATAAAATTATAAATATTCTATAAAGTAGAAATGTAAAAAGAAATAATAATAGCGTTACACTTGGTTCGCACAACTCTTTGACTTTATCAAATCGGACAATTTGATGATAAAAATACAAGTGGGCATCTAATAGTTTCATCATTGACCCATATAGAGAAGCATTTTTTTTCTGAATAATTTGTATCATGTGATTCATTGTACCGAGGGTCGAAATGTATCCATGTATTCATTTTCTTAATAAATTGCGTTTAAATTACACTCAAATCCTGTGTTGGCTCATATTGGCATTACTTATTGTTTCAGATAAAAGAAATAATGTTCACTAAATTTTTAATATCCGTTATATTATACAAAAATTATACTAAAAATTCTTATTATCTTATACATTACATGTAAAAAATATAGTAGAAATAAAATCCTATTTTTTAATCTGTAGTGTATATTGCTCAATTCTAATTTTGTACTAAATTAAGTATGAAATACCTGTCATCTAATTAAACGTTTATTAATAATTAATTTCTAGCTTTTTCGAATGCTACTCTGTTTATATAATGAAAAGAATTTAGAATCATATATAATTTTTTATTAATGTATTTTTTTATAACAAATAAATAACCGATATGCTAAATTATGCAGGCGCTGTGGGAAATAAAACAACTCTGTAAATATATTTTGTATACGTATATTTTATATACGTATATTTCGATTAATAAAAAACTCATTTAATTGTATATTGATAATTATATATTGGTGGAGAGATTTATGTCGTAACAAGATTTATAGATTGAAAACACTTCTATTAGCAGTATAAAAAATATAATAAAACTAATGAATAATATTAACCAAAATTTTAAAACAGTAAACTTTACCTTCATTCAATATTTAGGAGAATAAGATTTATAAACTTTATACCATTAAATATTTAAATGAATGATGATCAGTCTCGTCTATAACTTATTATATGTATAATATAACTAATATTATGTATATGTATATTTGTACATTCCTTATTTATTTTTGCTCCGTTTTTAAAATGATTAATTACTATTGTGTTTTCATCGTTCCGTTTAATTAAAAATTTAAATAAATCTAAATTCTAATACTTTAAATATGATCTAAGAAATGTTTTTTAACTATAATCAATGATTAAATGAATCATATATTCTGATTATTACTTTCAAATACAGTATTTTCAGTTAAAAGATTATATATCTCAGTATCTATATGTATATCATCTACTTAGCATATGTGACGTTAAGATTTTCGTTTTAAATGAAGTTAAAAAATATGATCGCAGAATTCTTTGCATGATAACATTCATACGCATTATGTTATAATCATTTCGTATTTTATATAATCTAAATAATTTTTGTAAATGTGTACATAGCATGAATATGATTATCATTCATTTAATTATGATTTATTTTGGTGATGGAATATGTACCAATTAAGTTTAATGAGTAGATTGTATCGACGTCTTTCATTCGGTTATGATTTACATGGTAGTCACAGCCCAGAAATTGTATACCTGATATTACATTTCTAGCGCTATTATTTCTGCACATAAATTACCAAAATGTTTAAGATGTATTCTAAAAACACAAAAATAATTAATAATCACGTTTACGAAATCTGCAGATACTATTGCACTTCTATATTCTTTTTATTAACATTGCGAATAAATCGACTTCAAATTCTCTCTTATCTTCACTCATTTGCTGATTTAATTTGTCAAATCAATTTTGATAAATAATCAGATAAATAATTTTACTGATGAAAGAAAAAAGAAAACTCAGCTATACGAAAAAAATCATTCCCTTCTAAAATAATATGTAAACAACTATCATGTAATATGTGGTATAACAAGATCTGGATTATACGAAACATACAAAAATATATATATAATATATATATGTATATAGATATATACAATGTTGAAACAGTCGTAAAGTTCACAAATATTTATGTCTATGATATCAAATAATAAAAAAATAGTTCACAATTTTAATAATAGTACTTATTCCATTTTGAAAACTTTTACCCTCGTATAAACATGAGTACGCTTTATTTTATTATACCACAGATATTTATTTATGTGTTTTTTAAAGTAAAGAATTAGAGTCTTCGAGCGCGCACGCGCCGAGTATGTTCAAGGAACATTTTTCATTATGAAAAATGAATTGTATGTACATTTATAGATGCAGCTTATGTTACACATATTTTGTATATACGATTTACAGCTGCATACACAACTTATACACAACACTCATCGCAGATAACGTTTGTAATCTATGATACCACTTCATTCTTAGAACATTTGACCTATCATAGCGACCGGTCGCACTGCTTGCCCGTTATTAACGTTATTCATATTTACGTGGATATGAGTGATTGTATGCGGTATGTGATGATGATTGTGATCATCAACAATCATCTCGCCATATTGGGCGCGACAACGCTTCTGGTGTGCAAAGAGGCTGCCGCTGTGGCTGTACGCGGCGCCGCACGTCTTGCATACGTACGGTTTCTCACCAGAATGAGTGTACGTGTGCTCCTTTAACGTGCTAAGCCTCTTGAAAGCCTTACCACAGGTTTTACATAGGTAATTTGCCTCACCAGTATGCCGAGTTAAATGCCTGCGAAAAGCCGAGCTCACAGCGAATGCGGCGCTACATACGTGACACACAAACGGCTTATCGCCCGTGTGAATACGAATATGATTCGCCAGGCTCGTCGTGGTCGTGAAGCCGCTGTTACATGTCTTGCACACATGTGGCTTAATGCCGGTGTGAGTTCGCATGTGGTAAGTGAGGGACGAATTGCTTGGATACACCTTACTGCAGATGTGACACAAGTATTCGCGCGGTATCTTCTCTTTCGGCTTATGCGTTTTTTGATGGAGAACGAGACGAGCCTGACTTGCACAGACTTTCCTACAAATCTCGCAAGTAACCGGCTCGGCCTTAGGTTTGTGCATTGATACGTGCCGTCGTAGACCTTTCTTGGTGGCCATGACTTTGTCGCAATGTTGGCATTTGTATTCTCCGGTTCCTTCCTCATCGCTCTCCTCTTTCTTGACGTTTTCGCCCTCCGGCGGAGGATCCATCGTGTTGTTGCTTGGCATATCGTCGTCATCCGAATCATACAGCTTATTATCATCTATCAAATTATCCAACAGCCCATGCCCGTGCTTCTCCGCGTGTTTCTTTAACGTATCTGGCCTGAAGAACCATTTCTTACATACGGTACAAGAGTACTTTTTGTCGCCATGCACCAAGGCATGTCTTCTTAAATTCTTCAAGGATGAGCAATACTGGTTGCAAATCTCGCACTTGTACAACTCTGGCGCGTTTTCGAATTCGTCCGCTTCATTCGCAGGCCCAGTCTCGTTGTCGGTATCATCTTCACTCTTGAATTCTTTCTTCGGTTCCTTATTATCCTTTCGCTCGCTTGTGTTGATCTGCTTAATCATATCGTTTACTTTCTCTGTATGCGACTTCAAGTGCCTCACGAGACTCTGCGACTTTGAGAAGGACGCATGACAAAGCTGACATGCATGCGGTTTCGATGCATGAATCTTCTGATGATTCTCCATGTTTTCCTGCTTGTAAAACATTTTTAAACAGATATCACATTTATACTTCTTTTCGTGGACCAAAGCATGCTTCTTCAGACCTTTCTGTGTTGCGTATTGTTTAGAACAGACCTTACACTTAAACTTAGACTCCACTGAATCTTGACTATCACTACTCGGCTCGTAATAATTGTCAACAACCTCGTCGTCGCTGTATGTTTTAGCAGATTTTGTTTTTCTCGCAGATGTTCGTTTTTGCGGGACGTTTTCCTCTTCTTCTATATTATCATTGGATAAACTTTCAGTCACGAATTGCTCCTCCTGAACTATATTATTCTTTTCCACATACTGATCAGCTTCCTTAATTTCGTCATCCTTGTTTTGTAAATTAATAATGTTAGTATCCTGTGCATCTTCCTGTACTATTGTCATTTGATGAACCTCACTCTCTGATATGCAAGAATCTTTCACCTCTTCTTTACTTCCTTCAAATCCGATGGAACAGATGAAAAGCTTTTCATCTGGTATTTGAATTTGATTGGTATTCAGATTGACTCTGGGAAATGAATCGGTGGTTTGAATGTACTCTTGCGCACTCGTAACTACTTGCATGTCTTCCTTAAAATAATCCTCTTGAAAATGGTCTGACTTTTTTGACTGTACAAATCTCGTTTGTAGATCTGTCTGTGTATAAGAATCCTGCAAATCCTGAAAAATCACATAAACTATCATGTATTTTCGTACATAGGCAAATATAACTTGGGAAGACTTGATGTTTTTACCATGGTGGACTTAATAGATTTGACAGGCTTATTGTAGTACATGCGTAATCTTGCGTCAGAATATTGACACTGTTGTCTAAACTCATGGGCGACGCTGGCCTTGTAAATACAGTCGTTACATATCAAGGAAGGTAATCCATCCTGCTCGTCTATCTCAATGGAGCCACAAATTTGTATTTTTTGAGAAAGACCCGTGAGATTGTTTACTTCTTGTGTAGAGGAGAAGATTGATGACAAATTGGTACCCTCTTGAAGACAGATCCTACATACTCTGTCCATATTAACTGGTAAAGTAAAGTAATCCGAAGTCATTGTTCCGTCGAGGATGAAACGTTCACCTGCGACAAGTTATCTGTAAGATAAAAAAAAAGTGTGCAAAAACAAAAACAAAATAAATAAGGCATTCTTCTTTGCAGAATGTAACTTTAATCAAACATATGATTATCAGATATAATTATAAATATGAAGTTCTGACGATCCCGTACATGTATAAAAGACAAAAACAGAAGTTTCGTCATTTAGTAACAATAACATAAACAAAATACAGACAGCATTGTTTGCAATATGTTGCATTAACATCGCGTAATACGTTGACGAACGCTTTCGCATGGTACGGTGAGCAATCTACGAGGCAATTTAATATATCTCATGACGAGAGTCCCGCGGGATCGGATCTCGTAGCCGGGTGCAGCCATGCGAAACAAGATACCGACGTGTGACGCCGCGAGAGACATTCCATTCCCTACGTCGCGCGAATTCCGTGCGCGTACCGGGAGAGAGATAAGGAATTAAATATACAAATACCGGAGCGGTTCTCAACTTCTCGATGCGGGGCGCGTTCATGCGTCGTGCCACCCCCGACCCGATGCTGCTACTATGACAGTGACGCCCAGTGGACGCGGTGCACTACTCTCAATCTCTTCCGAGTCTCTTGCAGTCTCGTGCTGCTGAACGGCGCGTTTAACTTTTTCTTTTCAGGACTGTTCAGAGTGCTGCGCGCTCACGACGGCTTCGCATCGCATGGAGGCGCGATGCGCGTCGCTCCATAATCGATCCGTCGATTTGTGGAGACTTCAAACACTCCGAATTCCGTCCTCGACTCTGCTCGGCCTTTGTCTCAGCTTACTCCGATCGGCAATCGACGGGGCTGCGAAAGTTGAGAGCAGTCTGAGATGAATACCCGAAGGTCTCTAAGTATGGGTGGGTCAATACAAAGAAGAGCCGAGAGAGCGCACGTATGTATGTACATACGTGTGAGTGCAAAAATCGGTTGTATCGGGGACTTCGATTTGGTCAGCGACTCGTCATCTCTTTCTAAACCATTTCTGTAATACAACGGAGACGAAACGTATTACATACATATGCTTGCCGCTTAATTAGCATACAATACGCGCCTATATCTATATAAGAACTGATAAGAACAGTCACTGTTCAGTGTTCTAAATAAATAGCTCTGGGAAAGAAACACAGAACTCATGCGCATGCGTCATATGAGGGGCACGACAGTCATATCTGATTGGTTGAATTTATATATCTCGTAAAAAATTGTCCATCATTTTTCACATAATTTTAAAAATTAAGATTATTAGATATATTGATATTATATATTATATTAAATTCAATTTATGTTTGTAAAATATCTATCCCATATATATATATATATATATATATATATATATATATATATAGCATAGACTTTCAAAAGATATCCTGAAGACGTCCAGAAGACGTCTATATCCTAAAGATGTATATACGTATTCTTAGGACATATAGTATATACAGTACTTTATCCGAGAAATATTCTGAGAATGTCTTTAAAACATACAGCATGTTCTCTGATAAAGTATTTTTTTTGTTATGTAATATTTGTCGCATATTCGAACTACAATTATACATATAGAGATTACTATATTGATAATGGTTTGTTATTTTAGAAAACAATAATTTAACATAATTTTGAAAAAATTTAAATGTGTACAATTAATTAAGTCTTCACTCGACACAATTAAATTTTGATATGATAAAACACACACACACACACACAGAGTATAGAACAATATAAAAGTCTTGGCACAATGGACTCGAAAATATATATTAGGAATAGAAATGATTATTAAGATTTCAATTTATCAGAAAAAACTGTATATTTCGCTATTACAGATTTCTAGTACATAGATTGAAATCTTAATATTTATTTCTGTTTCTAATATTTCTTCCATTATGCACAATTTCTAATGATCAATTTTCTTTTTTTTTTGCATTCTGCTTTTTTGTCCCCAATATGAATGTCCCTAATACATCTCAGTAAATAAGAAATATTTTGAAATATTTCAGTAACGTTGTTGCAACGTTACTAAAATGTTTCAGAATGTCTCTTATTTACTAGGATGATATTAAATATATATTTGACCTCTTCTAAATAATTTATTTTTACTTCTTTTTATTTTTGTAATAGAAGAACTATGGCAAATCAAGCAATTTAATAATATAAGCGTCTTGAAAAGATATTAATAATATATATATAATTGATTAAAAAGTATAGCTAGAATTACTTCTCTTAAATTGATTATTTTTTTCCTGTAATATTTTTAATTCTTTTAAAATATATTTAAAAATATATATGTTTAAATAAAATATATGTATTAAAATGATAAGAAATAATAAATACGTATGTATAAAATTTTAAAAAACATATATGTATTAAAATCATGCGTACATACACACATATAATTTAAAATACACATTTTTAATTTTATTCATTTATTTGAATCTCGCGTAGGTGAATAGTAGGTGAAGTAAATTCGTGACAATTATATTCTGGAGCGAATTGCAACCGATAGTTGCAACAGGCATTGCAATAAAAGAAATATTAAAAACAGAAATAAATATTAAGATTTCAATCTATGTACTAGAAATCTATAATACCGAATAATAGATACTAATGAATTCCCAATAGTTGCGTTCAGTAGAGAAAACAGTTTTACCTATTGTAAAATTCTTTCATATGATTGGTTTATACATTTAGATCCAGAGAGGAACTAAGAGCAAGACCAATCATATTAAAGAATTTTACATGGTTGCGAAGTTGCTTTCTCTGCTAAACGCAGCCATTGAGCGAAGATAACTCATATTTGTCTACCCCTCGGTTTGCCCTCTTGACATTTCTCATTTAGGTATGATTCTCTGATATCTCGCTCTCTTTTCCTCGCTTGCTCGTCCACCTGTCTGTCAAAAAATGTGAATATAGGATTGGAATTTATACAGATTTACGGTTAACTGTAATGGTATCAGGGCCACGTGTCGTTTGGTCAAGTCGAAACGTACGGCCGATGTGCGAAGTTCCTTGAGCGGTGTAGTGCGAGCGCATACAGCATTTAATATCCTTTTTTAATGCGACCATGGCACTCCGTAAGGTGAAGGGGAACTTTGAACGGATGTTTGACAAGAATTTGACGGATCTGGTGCGCGGAATCAGGAACAATAAAGAAAACGAGGTGATTCCCGTGTGTGTGTTTCACGATTTCCTCGCTGTCTTATCCTTTAGTCAGAACCTAACCTAATTTTCCTCCTTTGCTCGCTCTATCTGTTTTTCAACAGTTCTTAGGATACTTTACTCCTCTTTTCTGTACCAGGCAAAGTACATTGCACAATGTATCGAGGAGATCAAGCAAGAGTTGCGGCAAGACAATGTGGCAGTCAAAGCCAACGCCGTGGCCAAGTTGACATATGTAAGTCTCTAGCATATGTAAATTTTGATAGATACCAGGATCGACTTGATGCAATTTCAGCAATTTGTACAGTCGATTTATTACGAGTTAACTTAATTCAGTTCAGTTCAATTTATCCCAAGTATTAATGATTTTAATTTATTCTTACTATCTTCAGCTCCAGATGTTGGGGTATGACATTAGTTGGGCTGGCTTTAACATAATAGAAGTAATGTCGTCGACCAAGTTCACTCACAAGCGAATTGGTTATCTTGCTGCCAGTCAAAGTTTTCATGCGGAAACAGAGGTAAAATCTATTGTCGCATAGTAATATATATTTATTAAACAATTTATCGAATGTGATGACTCATCCTGTGTATATCTTATATGTACTTTTATTTATTAAGAGACCTGTATGGATATTTTATATATATTTTTTTATATACATATTCTCTCTCTCTCTCTCTCTCTCTCTCTCTCTGTGTGTGTGTGTGTGTGTGTGTGTGTGTGTGTGTGTGTGTGTGTGTGTGCGCGCGCGTGCACGCGTGTGTGTGTGTGTTATGGACAAAATCCACAAATAGACAGTGTCGGCATTGCCCAAGCTGTATCAACATTGTCCACAATCCAATACAAGTAAACTTTGGAATGTTAATATGGCTGGGCAATGCTGACATTGTACAGAAGGCAATTTAGGCTATGCTAACACATGTGGATTTTACTTGTAACATGTACAACATTTGTTACATACAGGATATATACAGGATGAATCATAAATATGTTTCAAAATTTTGTATTTTCCAAAAATTTTGAAAATCATTTTTCTTATTTTATCGAAAATCGAATTTTATATGTTCAGTGAAAAATAATTTGATAAATTGATTTTCAAAATTTTGGAAAAAATAAATTTTTTCTTTCAACTTTGATATTCTAAATCTTTGAAACTAAACTTTCCGGCATAAGATTAATATAAAAGTTTTCATTAAATATTTTTAAGAATCATCCTGCATATACACTTTAATTGGATACGTTTACATGCTTTCACTACAAATTTAAATATGAAGTTAAATACATCAAATAAAAGATGTATAATAAATTATTAAGGAAAATTATATATATATTTATTTACGTATATCTATATTACACAATATTTAAAATCTAACTTAGCAAATTATTAAATTTATAGGAAAATAATCATCTCGTAATTTGTTAATATTTTTTTGTTATAGCTACTGATGCTAACAACAAATATGATTCGTAAAGATTTAAATAGCCAAAATCAGTATGACGCTGGTTTAGCACTGAGCGGTTTGTCTTGCTTTATAAGTCCAGATTTAGCACGTGACTTGGTTCATGACATAATGACATTATTGACTTCTACAAAACCATACTTACGCAAGAAGGCAGTTTTGATGATGTATAAAGTATTTTTGCGGTTCCCCGAGGCCCTGAGGCCCGCTTTTCCTAGGTTAAAGGAAAAGCTTGAAGATCCAGATAGTGGTGTTCAAAGTGCAGCGGTAAATGTAGTTTGCGAATTGGCCAGAAAAAATCCAAAGAATTACCTGAGTTTAGCGCCTGTTTTTTTTAAATTGATGACAACTTCTACGAACAATTGGATGCTCATTAAAATTATTAAATTGGTGAGTGTTGTCGTTGTACTATAGTTTTAAGAGATAAATGGTACTTCTTTATGTTTCTTTTCGCACATATAAAAAACTTTATATCCATAACTATTCTTTTAATATTATTAATTATAAATTTTCAAATATACATCTTTTTTTTATTGTAAGTTATGTTGATTTTGTTTCTCACACTCAGTTTTCAACTATAATCCTGATCGAACCAAAGCTGGGTCGACGACTTACTCAACCATTAATTGATCTGATTTCAAGGTTTTATACAATATTCGTTGTTTTAAACAATTGTAGATACAAATGTTTATTTCTTGCAATGATATTGATAGTATAGAGCGGTATCTCGGAACATATTTCGTAGAATCATTTATATTATGTTTTTCATATATTTCGATTATACATATTTCATCTATTCATAAAATAAGAATTAAAAAAGCTACTCCTCTGTATACAAAAAAATACCAAGTACATCTTAGAAGGCAATATGACATTGTATTTTCAGTTTGGAGCATTGACACCTCTAGAACCTAGGCTTGGCAGAAAGTTAATAGAACCCCTTACCAATTTGATACACAGGTATTCTAATGTATTTTGAAAGCATTAATTATCGCGTTTGTAATGTTATCATTGCTTACTTAGTTTTATATTTTAGTTTAACTGTCTAACGTTTATATTATTTTTTATTTATATCTTGTAACATAAAAAACGTAATATTTTACAATGTATAATATTTTGTTAATTTCTTTCTTACGAATAAATTATTTTTTGGTATAATTTATAACATAATAACTGATTGTTTCTAGTACATCCGCAATGTCTTTACTGTACGAATGTATCAATACAGTAATTGCTGTATTGATTTCTATCTCGTCTGGTATGCCAAGTCATTCTGATTCAATACAGTTGTGTGTTCAAAAATTGAGAATACTAATAGAAGACTCTGATCAAAACTTGAAATATCTGGGATTATTGGCAATGTCGAAAATATTAAGAAATCATCCGAAGAGTGTGCAATCTCATAAAGATCTAATTATGCAATGTCTTGATGACAAAGATGAAACTATAAGACTGCGTGCCTTGGATTTGTTGTATGGAATGGTTTCCAAGAAAAACCTAATGGAGATAGTTAAGAAGTTAATGGTACATATGGATAAAGCCGAAGGCACTATGTATCGCGATGAATTACTCTCAAAGATTATTCAGATTTGCTCACAAAATAACTATCACTTCATTACCTATTTTGAGTGGTAAATATAAAATATTTTCATATAAATCTTGTTATCTAGGTTATCTAGGACAAATTATAGAAAACTTCCCATATGCTCACAGGTACATATCTGTATTAGTGGAACTTACGCGAATGGAAGGCACCAAGCATGGACCATTAGTAGCAACTCAATTACTTGATGTAGCAATTCGTGTACAAGCTATCCGAAAATACGCGGTTCAACAATGTGCCTTATTGCTTGAGAATTCATATCTTTTAACCGGCCAGCCAAGGGCAACAATGTCCGAAGTTTTATATGCAGCAGCATGGATTTGTGGAGAATTCTCTAGGTATTAAGAATTTTATGCATATTAAGTATTAATTTAATTAATGTATATATATATATATATATATATATATA